TTCATAACAGGTGCAAATAATTTTGATAAGAATAGAGTAATTCCTTTAAAAAGAATATTCAAATACAAAGACAAAACTAGTTAACAGCTCCTTTACCAAACAACGGTCATGTGAAATGTTGGTTTTTGCAATTCCCCACCTTGAACCAAAGATCCTTCCATTCATCTACCGTATCAGCATTTCTATCACAGTCCCAGAGTGGTGCTAGGGGCCCAGAACGGTGTATAAAAAGTTGAGGATTTGAAAACACTTTAGAGCTGACAGCGGAAAAGGAAATTCAGCACTCGGAGAATAAAGCCCCCCCCAGGAACTCCAGGAACAACCCAGCTGTTGTACTGTAGTTATGTGTCAAGATAACAAACTGAGAGCAGGAAATGCTAACCTAGTGAATTCGCAGGGATGGTCTAAGTGTAATGTTGAAATACAAGTTAACTCTTAATATTACCTAAGGACATACTCCCCTTATCATACATAGGCCACATACATGTGGAGATATACACACACACTACATACACACACATATATATGCATACACACAAACACATATATGTAATACAAACATGGTTTGCAACCCATTATTGAAAATTATTTTTGTTTAAATATTCATTCCTTTGAGAGCATACATTTTACAAAGAAAATGTTATGAACAAAGCAAGGAAAACGGTTGAGGCGAGTGTTATGCAAATTAAGTTACATGGATAAAATGAGAGCTATTACCCCCCCAACTTTTTTTTCTTTTTTTTTTTTTTTCCTTCCCTCTCCTGACCAACCAGATCCAAATAACCTTTACTGGCTGCTAAATTTCTCTTGAGAAATCAAGCAACTCTCTAGAATTGCAGTAATAAACGACAATTTCTTAGAAAAACATGTGTAAAGTAACTACAGAATGAAGTATTCAATCCATAGAAAGGAACTGCTAACACATGTAACATGGAAAATAGCTGATAAAAGTCTCTTTGGTGCCATTCAATTATGGCATCCACAGAAACACAAAAATCCTTCCAATCATTTTAGTAAAATCTTCATTTATTCATTATTTCAGAGGCTGAGCAAATGGTTTGTGTAAACATATCCTTCGGTAACACGCGCATGTTTATTTTAGCCATCTGAAGACTTCTTCTATGTTTATATAAGCCATCAGACACATACAACCACTCACTTGTGGCTTTGCGTTTTCTTGAAAGGGGTAAAGGGGGAGAAGAGAGAATGAAACAATAAATTCAGTTTCTCTTTTGCATGAAGCACTCCCTCTAATGTTTTAAAATAGCTTATGTTTACATTATTCTTGGATTGTCCTTCGGCTTTCTTTTTCATTCAATTATATTGATCTTTCATATCTGATAGTACAGGCTGTATTCTGACTATCACTTTAAGAAAGACAGCCAGTCAGGGAGTAACTGCTGTATATGTTTATGTCCATATAACTCATATATACAACAAGGTAATTTGTCCACATGAGACAAAGCACAAATACAACAGTACCTACCTTAAGCAATTCATCACCTATCATCCTCCTAAGATCTTGAGCCCATTCTGACTATACTAGAAGGGAGCCCTTCATGAAACCAGTATTTTACTCTGGGTTAACTGCAGTTCCTGACCTTTCACTTAGGCAGAAAAATTGACTGTCTCAAGGTGCAAGCAACTCCTACGCGTGTGCGTACACACACACACACACACACACACACAGTTCACAAAACAGTTCACAAAATTTTAAGGTCAAAACAACAAAACACCTTCAGGGTTGTAACCTAATAAGACTGTGAAAACTTTCTCAAAGAGTCAGCTTTGGTTCCTAAGGGAATGCTTAGGCCTTGGGGTTGGGGGTGGGTGGAGGAAATCTTCCAGCTTTGATTATACTCGCACAGCTCCCTTGGCACTGCCATTTTCAGTTCCGACAAGAGCTGCGTTTGACATGGAAACACCTCAACAGGGCAATTAGTATAAAGCAGAAAAGAGGGTGACCATGGAAAAGTGATTGTACAAAGAAATTAATGACAGCAAACAACAATCAATCAAAATAAAGCAAAACCAAAACACCCGTTTTGCTCTGTCCTGTTCTACTACAGTCTCCACGGATTGCCTTTTGTTAAAAGGCAACTACCACAACAAAAATAACCTGTGATATTTTATTTATTCCATCGTGACAAAGGCAAATTATTTAATTCTTTGGATGAATAGACCTATATTTCTTAAATATTTTCAACTTATTCAGATGATTCTAAAGCTATAGCTATGCCCTGAAGATTTTAGATGTCTATTATCTCCCTTAAAAGTGCTAGTGTTACAGACATTTATGACTTCTTTTTTCAAAATTCTTTCAAAAAAAGTTTAAAAATAAACACAGGTCATAAATTCTAAATGATGAATAAGCTGTCATGCCACAGACAAGGGCTATTTGTATTATCAAATATGAACTCTGTTGTGTCCATTTTTGAAAACTGTAACAAAGCAAAGCAAACTGTGTCATTTGAATTTATTTACTCTGAACTGCATCACACCTAGATTTTAAGAACTGTGAGCATTTCAATCACCACAGCATTTATCACAGCCCACAGATTCAATAATACCTGTTGAATGTAGAATGTGATGGCTGCCATTATCAATTATGTGCTTTCTGAATCAGGATAGAAAGAGAAGAAACAAACCAAGATACTGGCTGGGTGTGGTGGCTCACGCCTGTAACCTCAGTACTTTGGGAGGCCGAGGCGAGAAGATCACTTGAAGTCAGGAGTTTCAGACCAGCCTGGCCAACATGGTGAAATCCGATGTGTACTAAAAATACAAAAGTTAGCCAGGCGTGGTAGTGCACGCCTGTAATCCCAGCTACTCTGGTAGCTGAGGCATAAGAATCACTTGAACCTGGGAAGCAGAGGTTGCAGTGAGCCAAGATCGTGCCACTGCACTCCAGCCTGGGTGAGGAAGTGAGACTGTCTAAAAAATAAAAAACAAAAACAAAAAAAACCAAGATACCTTTTAAAGAGCTTTTGGAATCATTAAGACCATTCCACATGTCATTACCTACTAATCAAAAGAAAAGTTACTATTTTTGAGAGGGAAGAAAAATTTTACCTAAATAAATTCTGAATTTTTTTCTGACTTACTATGGCCTGAAACTGATTACCACATCAATTTTTCACCAGGAAGGGGATTTGTAACAGCAACAATACTGCCCTAAGAACTGAGTGTAATCATCAGATTCATTTCCTCCAATACATGTGTTCTGAGATTTATTGCCCACTCACCTTCTCTTTCCATGGGCTATCAATTTTTTATTCAAAAAATTACTAGTAACTAGGTAAAGTTATTTTTTAAATCTCTAACAATTTACAAATATGCTTTAGAGGTGCTATCCTATTTTTAGATTTAGTAAGCCAATCAATATTCCATAGATTTGGAAGTTCACACAGCTATAGGGGCACTTACAAACATGAGTGCATGTCATCTGGTTTGCAATTCTTGTAAATATGGTAAGTTTGTATGCAGACATGAGCCATTTTGTTAACTGACAGAGCATGAAATATAAGAGAGTTATTAAATAAAATATGGAAATATTAGGTTATTAAATTCAATTAACTTTTATTAAATAAAATATGGAAATATTAGGTTATTAAACTCAATTCAATTAACCTTAAAATGTATATTAATTTGGAATATTTTAAGGAGATGCTTTCATTTAATTTAATTACGACTATTAATCGTTAAAGGCTATTTGGATAAGATGCCTACGTTGAGTTTATCTTCTTTTTATAAGCATATATTCTATTATTTTCAAAAGGGATGATGAATACAATCTTGTTGAAAAAAATCACAATATGTAAAACTGTATCCCTTTTAAAAGTGGATGTTATATCAATCTTCAAGAAGAAAAGTCACATGGTATTCAATTCAGTAGTGAATTAATAAAAAGTCATTGTTTTTAAAAACATAATCTGAATTATTTCCTTAATTTTTATCTGAATTAAAGTAGACATTTAATTATTTTGATTCTTTAAAATCTACTCTTTGGCAATTTCTGTGAACCAATACAGAGATGGGTAGACGATCCACAACTCTATCTGAGTATATACCTTTCTATAGACACTTTCCGTAAATGGAGGATTACAATCAGAGCAGGGCTGGAAAATTATGTTGACTCTACTTGGTGAACTCCTTCTGGGATTACCTCACTCTTTTCTGCCAATGTTTATTTCTTATTACTTATGATTATACCATGAATCTAATTATTTAATTTGTCAATTTGACACAATTTGTTCTTAAATAAAATAAATGATACATAAGAAGCAGCTGACTTTGAATTGCTTACTTTCTAAAGGCAATGCATGAAACAATATCAGAACTGGTTTTGAAAATGAAGTTTTAGAATAGCTTCCTCAGCCAACCAAATAAAGTCAATCTTCCATGAATCACAGCAGTATACAAACAGAAATTAAAACTTTAACAAATTCCTTCTTCAGCTACTGATTCCAACAATCTTCCTACTCCGAAATTTATGGGTGCTGTCAATAACAGTTAAATTGACTAACCAAATTTTTTTTTACTAGTTTTTCCCTACAACAGGGGAAAAAATGAATAGTGAAATGGCTTAGAATTAGCAGTAGGGGAAAGAGTCAAAATAAGAAAAATCTACAACGTGAAAACCAATGCTTTATCCTCAGGTAGCTGAAAAATCTTCGCTAAAGCTGTGATTTCACTTTTCAGGTCCTAAAATCTAAATGTCACATTCCACCCCCTCCCCGACCAAAAATATTATAAATTGTAGAAAACATTTTATAGCATTTAAAAATTCCAATGATCAGTAAGCATATACTATAGTCCCAACTTAATTTGATGTTCCATTTACATAAGAAATAAAGGAGGAGGACAGGGAAAGAAGAATGGCATAGCCAAAACAACTAAATTTTCAACATATATTTTCTGTAAAGCTGGTTAAAAACAAACACTATAGCTCATGTAATTTTTAGGTGTAAGTGTAGGGTTGGAAATAATTAAAATGTTACCTTTGCCAAGTAATTCCCAATGTATCCTCACTGGTACTGGGGTATAAATGCCTGCCGTTTTGATTCATGGTCCAGTCACAAATCCTCAGCTGTCAATTGAAACCTAGCAGTCAGATATGGATCGAGCAGTACTACAGTTTTTAGTATTTAAATGAACACATGCAAACTAGTACTGTACATGGCATTAACCTTACTTTCCCAAGAGGCAACTTAAAGAAAAAAAAAAGCAAAAGAAAATCTTATTCTTGAAAAGCAAAATTCCTAGACTCTTTTTTAGAAAAAGCTATTGCAATATGCTTCTCTATTAATTAAAGCATACAAGAGAAACAAGTGCTTAGAACATAACAATTAGCCATTATTAGAGTACAAATTGAGCTGGAATAAAAGCAAACGTTAATGTTCAATAGAGAGATATATTTTAGAAAGAAAATAAAAATGCTTTTTTCTATGCATCACACCAAATAATCTGCACTGAATAAAATAATCAATAACTTTAAGCATGCAGTTTGCAAAACATAGAAGACATGCAGTTTAGAGGAGAAAGGCCAACCTTATAAACATTCACCCTAACTTGTGTTTAGAAGCATCAAGGTCTTCAGTTTTAACCTTTTACTAATTTTGTTTTGCTTAAACTGGCATTGTTTAGAAAGAGTTGATAACCATTTCTAGTTTTATTTTAAACTCAGAGTAATGGCATTTAAAATACTTTACTACATCTGAAGAAAGTGAGGAATGCACTGAATACAAGCTGAAACAAATTCTTCCCAGATCTCCGAATCATCAGCTCTGCCCTTCAGAGACTGTTCGAGTAACCCTATCCAGCTCTGCTTGGTTAACAGCTGCCCTACAGTGCTAGCAGATTTATTGAAAAGATATATTGCTTATTTTTATTCTTAAGAAAGTAAACTTATCTGGTTGGGGGGGGAACACACTAGAAAATCACAGTTTTTAACCTTCAGATGGCCACACTGTAAATTAACAGCATCTTACACTGAAAAGATGACTTCTGCACAGTAATCCACTAAACCTTGTTTGCTGCTTTTCAGTGAGAATTTCCAGATGATGACTGGAACCAAAATACCATAAATTATCATAAATCTAAAATTTATAATAAACGATTTTAAACATTTCTGATAATGTTATGGTCCAAAAAAATAGGCTATTAAGAATCTTCACTTTCCCTTTTAGACTCTCGAGCTTCTGCACACACTAAGTAATAGTGATTCAGGAGTTTTAGAAAGATAGTTTTTGCTCATTTTTCTGTAGATCTATGAGGCTCCAAAAATACTAGCTAAAATTTCCAAACCATGTGTTTTAATTATTTGCATATTTCAGGATTTCAAGTAAAAGTGATTTTATGATCTAAAGAACTGAAAAAATTCCCTGCATATACATAGATAGATCAACAGATTGATAGACATGTAGATTCTGCTCAGGATATATGTCATAAAGAAGTCATAAATCAGTAAATAAATTAGAAAGAAAAATAAATATTCTTTTTTTTTTTTGAGACACAGTCTCATTTCACCACCCAAACTAGGATGCAGTGGCGCCGTCTCAGTTTACTGCAACTTTCGCCTCCCAAGTTCAAGCAATTCTCCTGCCTCAGCTTCCCAAGTAGCTGGGATTACAGGAGTGCGCCACCATGCCTAGTTAATTTTTGTTAGTAGAGATGGGGTTTTGCCATTTTGGCCAGGCTGGTCTCAAACTCCTGACCTCGAGTGATCCACCCACCTCGGCCTCCTAAAGTGCTGGGATTACAGGTATAAGCCACGGTACCCGGTCATAAATATTCTTAAAATGGACCAAAATACTCGCATGAAGGAAAAAAGTATACTTGCTTTGTTTTACATCAAATGACATACTTTGAACACTTCAAAGAAGTAAATGTGTTCAGTCTAGTGGGAAGCAACATGGCAAGATTTCTTAAAAGTCCCCAAAATGGGTTGTCTAATCAAATTTAGTGTGATGGGGCAAATTGTTTTCTGTTTTGTTTTTTACAGTAAAACAATGGTCTATTTAAAAATACAAGTTTTAAAAGTACAATGAAAACAATCAAAAAACAGTTCAAGAAACTTGGTTTTGTACAACAATAATGTTATTGATTAATCACTTACTGATTCTACTGTAGTCAATGAAAATGGAAGGGTTTTGTTTAAGTTTTATTTGGTTTGTTTTTTGAGACAGGCTTTCCCTCTGTTGCCCAGACTGGAGTTCACTGGTACGATCATGGTTCACTGCAGCCTCAACCTCCAGGGATCAAGTGATCCTCCCACCTCAGCCTCCTGAGTAGCTGGGACTACAGGTTCGGGCCACCATGCCTGGCTAATTTTTTTTTTTTTAATTGTAGAGACAAGATCTTGCTATGTTGCCTGGCTAGTGAAAATGCTAGTTTTGAATCAAACATTCAGAAGAGGGGAGATGTATATTTAGGTATAACACATTAATTGTGTTAATTATTAACTTCAGATTAGTATCTATGGGGCTCTCAATTTAGGTTGGAGAAGTTTTTAGAAAAATAATATGCTTTCACAAAGCCAGGGGAATCGAAATACCACTCAGTGATTGGCTTATTGTCCCATAGACAACTGCAGGACCACATCTCCTCAGAAGGATGTATTGTAAATTAGTTAGGTTTTTTGTTGTTAATGTTGCTAATATTTTGTCTGTTTTACCGCCCCAAAAAATGTAAAGTGGGCTATCTTTGACCATATGCTGCACACTTAAAAATGAACATATTTTGGGACTTTTCTAAAAGTAGTCTCAAAGGGGATAAACCTGACTACAGCTATTCATTATCATCTATTTAAGATACATGCAATAGAAATATTTTCTCCCAAATGGAAAAATATGCTTAAGTACATACAAAATAAACAATAAATGTATTTAGCAATAATTTAATGCCGAAGAAATTGGCAATATATTAATTAGTATTGAATTTCCTTTTAGTTACTAAAAATGTAAAATATTATAAATTTATTTATCTGTTTAGATTGTGCACTACCATTATCAACCTTTCTTGACGTTCCTGAGAAGACACGCTATAACTTAAGCCAGGTTACTGGAGCAAGAGCCTCTCTCCCCATGTTGGTTTTTTTCAATTAATAAACTTTGGTCATAAAGCATCTTGGAACTAACAAACTCCCTGATAAAGTGAAATTTTAAAGTGATGGTATGGGTGGAGGAAGCAATGAAATCATTAAAATAGAAATCACTTATTCACCAAAGATTTCCATGATAGTAATTCCTAAGAAAATCAATTTCTAATCTTATTTGACCAAGATATTCCTGAGCAAGCAAATTTTGAACAGACTCTAGATATTAAAAGGTTAATACTACACGTATTTAAGCTTCTTTTGGGGTCATGTTACATATTCTTGCCATTAGCGTAATTCGGTTTTCCTAATAAAAAATAATTTTACATTAGGCTTTAAATAAGTTTAACATAATAGGTGATAATCTTTTTTGAGTTTGAGGTGGTGATTCCTTAGTTTCTGTCCTGTGACAGAATCAGTGTTAGATAATTCAGCTGTAAATTCTCTTTTTTTATTTTAAAACTTTAATTTTAAGTGGCACATAAATACATGCCTTTCATTTATATAGAATTTTCCTAAGTTCAAAGCTTTAAGAACGCTCTAAAAATTTTTACAAGTATTTTTCATTAAGAAATAGGAAATTGCTTTTTTCTCTCAATAGTAATCAAATTTAAAATACCAAGTGCCACTCAGGTTAGAAATTTAGTCTGTTAGAATTATCTGTTTTTATGTGGAGGTGGGGAACAATACTTATTTTTGTAACAATATAGACTCTAAAAAAGAACTGATCATATGCATATCCTTACAAAAATGCACTCATATAAATCATTTTAATCCTTTAATTTATATGCAGGTACCAATACGAAATTCTATTGTCGAGAAAATGCCCAGAATTTCAAAACCACACAAAAGGTGAAGTAAGAAAGTAAGATTATCTTTCAAAAAAGCTATCAGTAAAGGGGTAAGGTTGGAACAGTTTAAACAACTAAGGAAGAAGTGAAGGTGAAGTTTTCACTGCATGTTCTTAGGGTGGAGTTCTATGGTCTCTGGAAGGAGAACCTTGTTCCTGGCCCAACTCAAATCAGATTGCTTCAAAGAAAAAAAGTAAAAGGATAGGGGTCATCTGGCTCCTCTCAAATGGCTACATAAAGGGGAAACACCTAAGATTTGGATCATTATCCTTTCCTAAACTATACTCAAATAATCATGTAAGTAGCAGATAGCCATAAAGAATTAATATTGCTTGTGACTTCAGACTAATAGTTTGTTTATTCAAATGGGGGTTCTCCTTTGTTATTAACAGGGTCTTTTGTTAAATGCACAGCAATTAGCTTTGGGAACAAAAGAAAGAAGGTAAGCAAAATGTTCTACTTTGCTAGACTCAGCAAACAGGCTGATGTACTAACAGTTCCTATGATGACAACAAATCTCAATTGAACCAATAAACCATTAAACTGTGAACAGAACAATCAACACAGGCAAATTTACCTTCTCACTTTTTTTTTTTTAAGTTTACAATGACCCTCAGGAGAACACCTTGAAAGGTACGTTTTATGTTTTCTTGTGTTTCTTCATTTCTCCAGACCCTCAAGGAAACAGATTTTTGAGGGGTGGAGGTTCTTTTTGCGGGGGAAGACAGATGCTCAAAAGGATTAACACTCCAATATTAATACTTTGGATTAGGAGAATTTTATTTTATTGCTATTATTAATTACCTACATGGAGCAAATTAAATGGTCTCTGGATGAACACTATGTAACCTCTGAAGGAATGGTAAGAACAAGAAAAATGGTCAGAATAAAATTGTGTTGTATGTTTCACATGTAACACATGCAAAAAAAAAAAAAAAAAGAAAAAACCAAAACAAGAAAAAAGAAAGATACTCAAGATCATCCTCATATCTTAAAAGTCACTTCTAAAACCAATTTCTGAAACCCATGTTTCTTGATATTTAATTTAATTAGCAGAAGTAGAATTAACTTAAGGGAGTATGCATAGTCCATGAGCAGAATAAACATTATAAACCATAAATCATAAGATGAGCATTAGAAAAT